ATTTTTTATTCAAAATTTATCTGAAGAACGCAACTTTTACCAAAACAGCGACTAACAGAGAAAAAAATAGTGCTAAATAACGCTTCATCAGAAAAAATCGCTTGAAACAATCGGAGTTTATCCAGTTGGAAAATTGCAGTATTTTCGAAAACTTCAGATTTTACCACTTCATAATAAGAAAATCACAGATAAACAAAGTAGCAAACAGGCTGGCACTATTTTATTGTTGCGCACTGATTATGATTGTCTTTAAATACTTTTATTATTATTCTGGTTATTATACTGAATTAATCTTATTTCAGTTTGCGTCTCGTTTGAAAGCAAGACCAAGACAAAGACTGTCCTTTGCTTGGCAAGATCAAGCCCAAAAAAGACCCAAAAGCCCGAAAAACTCATCAGTTACAAACACCAAATGTGTTGTCGAGTGTTGAAATTACCCAAAGCTGTAGGCCCTGCACGTTTCCTGTTCTTTCGTGCATTCCTTCTCACATTTGGATACGGTGTTGTGCTCAAAGCTCTTGTACGTCTGCTTGGGGCTCAATTTTTCGCCAATCGCCAGTCGCTCATAACAGTCTGCAAACATCGGAAATTACTATTAGAAAACTTTGCAAACCGCGGGCAAATTGGTCGAAAACAGTCAAGCTCGCGCTGCTTTCAACGCGTTTGTTGTCCTGATTTTTTACGATTTTTTTTGCGCTGCTTGACCTGAACTGAGCACCATTCAAATTCAGCCTCTGGTAATTGGAGGTCAAGATGTTCTTCGCATTATGCGAAGTTCATTAACATTTTTAGCCTGGCAGAAAATTAGGTTCGCAATGAAATACAGTTAATCTACACTAAGCACAAGATTTAATCGATAGTAATTGGCGGTTCTCAGGTGCCCCCTGAACCGGTTTCGAGCCTATTAGCTCCCATCAAGCTCGACTGATGAGGGCTAATAGGCTCGAAATCGGTTCTGGCGATGTCGAAGATTACAATCTTTCCTAAATGTTACCAAACCAGAGGCATTTAAATTCACACGTGATGAACATGAAGATGGCTATCAACGAGGAACTTGCCAGCACGCAATGAAAGTGAAACTCGCTGTAAAAATTCAAATACTCACCATTTTTTATAACACTCAATTGCCCGTCTATGCTAATTGAATGCACTTGCAAACCACTTGCGATGCAGATTAGCAAAACCAAGGTGTTCACCTCAAACATGTTTTCCTGTTTTAGTTCATCATTAGGGTGGGTTTTACAGAAGAAAAAATGTATGGTTCTTATGCAATTATCCTGACTGGAAGACTGCACACTCTAATAGGGTCCAATTGTCTAATTATTCACTTTCTTGCGCCTTGTTAGTTCGTTTCGCAATGCGACCATTTCTGCAAAGGTTTAATTGTTGCTCAATAATAATGGAAATTTGCATTAAAAATGAAAATCTTTGCCTAAAAGAACTTTACCGAAGCAAACATTTGGGATAAAGTCAACACAACCAAGCACACACTCTGAAACGGATTCACCAGACAACAAATTAAAATTCGCACACGTCTGAAGAAAGGGCGCCTTCTTCGGCCTGAAGCAGAGCCACAACTAGAAGGCCGCGAAGATGTTTGTGGTCGGCAAAGATCTTCTTCTGTTTTTCTTATCTTTGATCTCTTGAATTACTAATTTCCAGCTTGTTCAGGTCCGCTCAAATTAAATCAGCACGGTTCGAAACCGAGTCATCAGCTTATTTTGCACACTTAGTCATAAGTGGGAAATGAAAAAATCGCTTGCAAGTAGATTGTAATTAAAATTTACATAAACATTAACCAGGATGAGAGTGTGATAAATATTTCTTGATGTGTGTGTTGAAGGTGAATGTTGTGAAGTCGATTCATTAGGAGGCAGGTAATTTTGATTTTGGAACAATGAGGAATAATGACCCTGCTCAAGGCTTCTTCAGTGGTTATTTTGCCGCAAGTTTAAGTGTCGAACCAGTTTCATTTAACCGGGATAAACTGTTCACATTGCACTAAAGTCGTACGTTTTATTTGGCTTGTTTTTCATTTCGATAATTTCAGAAATTAATTCTATATCGAGCAGAAAGTTTTGTATTGTATTGATAAAGACCTGGTCGAAACGTGATTCGAGGCCCAAACCCGCCTTTCGAACAGCCAATAAGTTTTCAGGGCACCAAAACACATTTTTTTATACAAACTT